CCTCCTCCTCCTCCCTCTCTGCTTATGGGCAACCAGAAAGAGGGTCCAGCTCAAAGGGGGGGGCTGCAACAGGCTCGGGGCAACTGCATTGCGGAGGTATTGCGCCAGAGAGCTGCGGCACCGCAGCTCACGCACTGCACGCAGAAAACCCGCAATGCTTTGCGCATCGGAACGTATTGCACGCCCCTCCTCCTCCTCCTCCTCCTCCTCCCTCCTACCTCCTCCTCCCTCCTCTCCTCCCTCCTCGCCTCCTCCCTGTCCTTCCCCGGGCCTACGCCCCCAAGAGGGCCGCGGCCCTCTCCCCAGGCCTCCTCCTCTCCCAGGCGTGCCCACCCTCACTCCTCCTTCCTTCCTCTCCTCCTCCTCCTCATCCTCTCCTCCTGCTCCTTCTCCTCCTCTCCTCCTGATGTGCTGCAGCCCCACGAATCGATTGCACCAAAGATACGGCACCCCCCCACCTGTCGCAAGACCTTTTTGCAAAACGTGAACCCTCCTGACGCTCCGCCCCCTCCATTCGCACCCCCTCGTCGCTGGACCCCCGTATTTAGTTACCCTGACCGTCCCTGCCGCCCTCCCTCCCCCTCCATTCGCAGCCCCTCGTCGCTGGACCCCCGTTTTTGGTTACCCTGACCCTCCCTGCCGCCCCCGCCCCCCTCCATTCGCAACCCCTCGTCGCTGGACGCCCGTTTTTGGTTAATCCCACCAGCCCTTTGGGCGTGAGTGGTTTAGGGAGCTCTCTCTGTTCTCAACCCCCCTTCTTCCCCTTCGGGGAGGGGTTTACCCCTCCCCCTACCCCCTCCCCCTGGACCTGGACAGGGACTCCGGGGTGGTGGCAGGGGGGTCTTGTTCGACTCCTGGGAGGGCCAAAAAAACGACGACCCTCACGAGGATTCTGGCCCCGACGGGGGGAGGCAGTTTGGCCCCTCTGCTCGTCTTTGAAGCAGAAATCATTGATTTTATTCAGGTGTTGGCCCCATTTTGGCGTCCTGAGAGGGCCGCGCTTATCTTCCCTCATAGCAAAGTCATTGATTTTACGAAGGTTTTGGGCTCAATTTGTTCTTTTCAGGGGGCAGCGCTCCTTTGCGCTTCAGAGGAGGTCGCAAGAGGCCCCAAGATGGCCCCAAGAGGCCCCCAGGAGCCTCCCAAGAGGCCTCCAAGAGGCCCCCAAGAGGCCCCCAAGAGGCCCCAAGAGGCCCCCAAGAGGCCCCCAAGAGGCCCCCAAGAGGCCCCCAGAGGCCCCACGAGGCCCCCAAGAGGCCCCCAAGAGGCCCCCAAGAGGCCCCCAAGAGGCCCCAAGAGGCTCCAAGAGGCCCCCAAGAGGCCCCACGAGGAGCCCGAACGACTCACACCAGGACGAGGGGCCCGAACGACTCACACCACGAAGAGCCCGAACGACTCACACCAGAAGGAGGGGCCCGAACGACTCACACCAGGACGAGGCGCCCGAACGACTCACACCACGAGGAGCCCGAACGACTCACACCACGACGCGGGCCCCGAACGACTCACACCACGAGGAGCCCGAACGAGTCACACCAGGAGGAGGGGCCCGAACGACTCACACCAGGATGAGGGGCCCGAACAACTCACACCACGAGAAGCCCGAACGACTCACACCAGGACGAAGAGCCCGAACGACTCACACCACGAAGAGCCCGAACGACTCACACCAGGAAGAAGGGCCCGAACGACTCACACCAGGACGAGAAACCCCAAACGACTCAAATCACGAGGAGCGCTTTCTCTCCCTCCTCCTCCGCCTCGTCCTTCTCCCGCTCCCCCCACAAGGAGGATGTACAAGGAGGCGGGAGGAAGGAGGAACAGGGGAGATATGCGGGGGCAAGCGGACACACGCCTGAAAAACACGACTGTCGGCATGCTTCGCAAGAGTTGCTGTTGTGAGATGGGCTGGTGGGGATACGCGAAGCGTAAAGAATTACCCTGACCCTCCCTGCCGCCCCCCCCTCCCCCTCCATTCGCACCCCCTCGTCGCTGGACCCCCGTTTTTGGGTCACCCCGACCCTCCCTGCCGCCCCCCCCCCCCCTGAAGGGGCCCACAAACACACAAATAAGTACACACAATGTATTCCCATATGTTCCTATATTTTTGAAGTTTTTGTCTTCCCCCATACTTCCCATATTTTCCCATATCTGGTCACCCCGACCCTCCCTGCCGCCCCCGCCGCCCCCCCCCCCCTCCATTCGCGGGGGGCCGCGGGAGCTCCCCGAGCTGACCTCCGCAGGGGCGGCGCGCGGGGAAGGGAGAGGGCTCCTCCTCAGCAGGGGGCCCCAGGGGCGCGCCCGTGCGGGCACGCCGCGCGCGAGGGCCCCTTCGGGGGGGGGGGGCCTGGGCCCAGACATCGGGCGTCTCGAAAAAATCGAGACGGAGGTGTTTCGTCGTTTTCGGCCTCTCGGGGCCCTCGCCGGGCCTCGGGACCGTCAAAAAACGACTCGGGGTGAAAAACCGGTCCCGAGGAAGTGGTCGGGAGGTCGGGGGCCCGTGTCTCGAAAAAATCGAGACGTCGGATGTCTGGGGACGTCTGCAGGCCCCCGGGCGTGTGTTGGGAGGCCTCCCAGGGGCCTTCGGAGGCCCAGGGCTGGATATCTGAGCGCTGTCTCTGCTTCGTCTTTTTTCCGCTCCGTGCTTCGATGTTTGCTCTGCCTGGTTTCCCGTACCTCCCTCCTCCCGAAGCGAAGCACAAGGTACCGCCGAAGTCCAGCAGAACAGCGCTCAGGTCCAGCCCTGGCCTCTCTGGAGACCCAGGGACGGCCGCCAGAGACGCCCAGGAACCTCGGTCCTCGAAGCCCGGCGGTCATCGATCCCCCCCGCGAGCGTGCGTCATGCCAGCGCTGGGAGGACGTCCGCGATGGTTTCCGGCGCTGCGCAGATCGCTCCACCTCGAGAGGTTGCGGCCTCTCAATATTTCGCTCGACAACGGCCGGCCACCGGCCACCGGCGGCGTTCCGTCGCGAGCGCCCGCGCCGGGGTCGCCGCCACGCGAACGCGGCGCGAACCTGCCGTAAGCAGGGCAGGCGAGGCGCCTGCGCTGAACTCTTCCAGGGTGGAGAGGAAAAACAGGGCGACCGTGACCAAGACTGAACGCGGAAACGTGGGTGTCGATCTTGGTCACCGTCCGTCTTGGCCACCGTCAACTCGTGTGTGACCGCCGCGAACTTGCGACGACTGGCGTGGACCATTACCGAGACCGGCGTTGACGCGATCCCGCGACATCTTGGTCTGGGTCATCGTGCCTCTTACAGGCCTCCTAGATGGGGTCCGAGTAGATGGGGTCGGAGGATCGCGCCGCATCGCCGATACATCCTCGATGCACCGTCGATGCATCGGCGATGCATCAGCGATGCACCGGCGATGCATCGTCGACGTGGGCGATGCAAATCGGGCTCCACATCGAGCCGCATCGGCGATGCATCGGCGATGCGGCGCTCTCCTCCGATCACATTTACCGGGACCCCATCTGGGAGGCCTAGACTTCTTCCCTCGACAGGACTAGCTACACTTAGGTCGGGCGTATCCCCCCTGCAGGCCCGTCTTGGAGAGGTAAAATAAACAATGCGCAAAGACATTGGAACATGCTCAAACATCGTCCAATCACATCGTCCCCAGAGTATTCGTTTAACTACTTGTGAATATCCCTCCTGTGCAGTAGGGGCGTTGACCCAAGGAACCCTAAATACGGAACGAGGCCCCATTTCCCACAAGTTCAACCTCGATTTACCTTCGAAAGCCTGAAACAACCTGAGGCAAACTGTGAAACAATCAAGGAACACCGAGCCCTTCCCCAACGAAAAGAGCTCCTTCTCCAGGGCCCCTCCTGTAGAGGAGCACGCCCGACTTACAGGCTGCACGCAAGAGTGACCCCCCGGCACGAGGCACCTCCGGTGCGCGGCCGGTCGCCCGCGGCTGGCGCCCTCCGCGGCGGCAGCGGCCTGCGTGCTCGGCCTGGCCCCTCCGCGGCGGGCCCCGGAGGCCGCGGGGAGCAGAGGTCTCGCCGGCGCGCGCAGCGGACAGGATCGCCAGCGAGCCCAAGGGGGGGAAGGGGGAAGGAGGAGAGGGAGGAGGAGGAGGAGGGGGGGAAGGGAGGAGGAGGAGGAGGAGGAGGAGGAGGAGGAGGAGGAGGAGGAGGAGGAGGAGAGGGGGGGGATGATGATGATGATGATGATGATGATGATGATGATGATGATGATGATGATGATGATGATGATGATGATGATGATGATGATGATGATGATGATCCCGCTCTCCCAAGGGGGGCCGCTGCCGACGTGCACGCTCCCCCAGCTGCTGCTACATTAACCCCTGCTCCCCGCTCGCTCCCTTGAGCGAGACCTCTCTCGCGGCGGGAGGGGGGATGGGGCGCCGAGGTCGGCCTCCACCCCCCCTTTGGTGGGGAGGAGGCCGCGCTTCATTCTGCGGAGCCCTTCGGCCTGCCTGCCCGAGAGCGGCCGAAGAGGGCACTCGTCGCCTAGTGCCATGAACCGACGACTGCGGCAATACCCGCCGCAAACCACACAAAAAGCGAGGTCCCCCGTCCGCCACATCCTGTGCGATGGGTGAAACCTCGCGTTCCACCAGGGGGGCCACGCTTCCCCGAGACCAGGTTGATGATGATGATGATGATGATGATGATGATGATGATGATGATGATGATGATGATGATGATGATGATGATGATGATGATGATGAGGGAGAGAGGAGGAGGAGGAGGAGGAGGAGGAGGAGGAGGAGAGGAGGAGGAGGAGGAGGAGGAGGAGGAGGAGGAGGAGGAGGAGGAGGGAGGAGGAGGAGGAGGAGGAGAAGGAGGAGGAGGAGGAGGAGGAGGAGGAGGAGGGAGGGAGGGAGGAGGAGGAGGAGGAGGAGGAGGAGGAGGAGAAGGCCTTCTCAGAGACTCGGAATTTCCCCGAAGGCACAGAACCCTGTCAGAAGGCACAGAAACCTCTCACAAGGCGAGAGGGCTACTGATAAGTCCCGCAGCCTTCTGGGCAAGCCTTCTTTTTCTCTTGTCGCCCCCTCGCTCGCTGCCGGATAGGTGGCTTGCGCAGCCTAGCTGCCCCGACACGCAACACGCAACACGTAGCGCATTGATACGACGCAACACGTAGCGCATTGATACGGAACTCGACACGTATACCGAAAAAGTAGGCCTGACGAGATGCGTTCGCCAAGACGTGGGCCAACAAAAAGGAGCCAACACGCAACGAACTGGCCCGGACGGTTTGAGCACGGTACGTGTGGCGCTTCCAAGCGGGCGCTTCGGAGCATCTATCGGCTACACGCAAGAGTGACCCTAGGCAAGAGTGAGCCTTAATGCGCGGACTAACGGGGCGCGAGGTGGCCGATTCCAATCGCGCAAGCAACCACTATCGCATCGCGCTCAGCGATCGGGGGGATCCCGGTGAGCCCGCACCAAAGGTGACTCTGGCGAAGGGTCACTCTTACGTCTAGTCTTAAGTCAGGCCTGTCCCCCTACAGGGGCATACCCCAAACATACCCCCAAAAGGTCAAACAATACTCAAAAAATAGTCCCCATACTATGTTTGACCTATTTCTGGACTATTTTTGAGGCATTTTGAATGTTTCGTCGAAATCCCCTGTGGGGGGACAGGCCCAACTTACGTCTCGTCGAGTCCAACCTGCGCCGCGGATGCCCACGCAGACCCCCGGCGCAGCGCCCACGGAGGGCGGAGCTAGAGGCCTCCCAGATGGGGTCGGAGTAGATGGGGTCGGAGGATCGCGCCGCATCGGCGATGCAGCCGTGATGCTCAGGCGATGCATTGCCGACGCCGGCGATGCATCGGCGACGTCGACGTGAAGCAAATCGGGCTCCGCATCGAGCCGCATCGAGCCGCATCGGCGATGCGGCGCGCGACCCTCCGACCACAGCTGCTCCGACCCCATCTGGGAGGCCCAGAGGAGCGCAGGCGGGCGGCAGCGCCTTCCACACCCACCTGAAGGAGATGTGCTTGGCCGGGGCGGCGGCGCCCCTGCCGCGGTCGTCGCCGACCTCGTCGTCGTCGTCGCAGTCGTGCCTCCGTCCTCGCCGCCGACGTCCTCGTCCTCGTCGACGTCGTCGTCGTCGTCGTCGACGTCGTCCTCGTCCTCGTCCTCGTCGACGTCGTCCTCGTCCTTCCCACCGTCGACGTCGTCGTCGTCGTCGTCGTCGTCGTCGTCGTCGTCGTCGTCGTCGTCGTCGTCACCGAAGAGGCGGCCGTGGCGGCGCACCTCGCAGAAAAGGCCGCGGAGGCCCGAGGCCTCTCTGGGGGGCGGCCGTCCCGCTGCGCCCCGGGCCGCGAGAGAGAGAGAAAAAAACGCCTCGGCAGGGAGTGCCCCGCACGAGCCTGAAACGTCCCCAGACTGGGCGCGAATGAGATGCGTACTCCAGATTTCGTAACAAAAGGGAGGGGGTCTGGACCCCCCAAGACAAGCCATTTCAGACCCCCCCCCCGTGGGAGAACCCTCCAAAACGTCGTCCCCAGAGCCCCCCAGGCCCTCCAAGATAGCCTGGAAGAGACCCCCCCCGAAATGAGACCCCCCTCCCTTTATTACGAAATCTGGAGTACCCAAACTGGGCGTGAATGAGATGCGTACACGTCGTTCGTTTCTAATCGTGCTCATGTCTTAATTGTGCTCGTTTCTGGTTGTTCCTGGCCCCCTAGTGGCCAGGAAGAGGCCCAGGATAGAACACTTAGGAATGAAAGGATCGTGGCCCCCCAGAAGATCAAAGAACTTTCGAATAATTAGAAATGAACATTGTGTAACTAAGGCTACGCGCAGCATGCCCTGCCTGCACAAAAACTGCCCGCCGCCCGCCGCCCGGGCGGCGCCCTCAAAGCTCGTCCATGGAGGCCTTCGCGACGGAGGTCTTGACACTGCCTCCTCCGTTTCCCCCTGCTCCTCTTCCTCCACCTCCTCCTGGCCGTCGCCGTCTCCTCCGCGCCTGGAACGACGCGCTTGCCATTATTCTCTGGCCGCCTCCTGGCCGCACGAGCCCCGCGCAACGTCAACGCGAAACCCCCGCCACCACGCGCCAGCCAGGGCTCGAGCCAAGCAGTGTTCGCCGTCTTCGCTCTGTTCTCGTGTTCCTTCGCCTTCGCTCTGCCTTGGCGGCGAAACAGCAGACCCAGACCACAACAGCCCACGAAATCGCCCAAACACCGTTTAATTAGCCTGGACCCTGGCGCCCGCCGAGAAGGCTGCGAGACCAGGCGAGGCAGCTCCGCCGCAGGCGAGGGCGACGGCGCGCGCGAGGGGAGCTGGGCGCCCGAGTTATCAGGGGTAACTCGGGTCCGGGGTAGCTCGGGCTTGGATTCCCGAACAAGGAACCCGAGTCAGCCCTGACCCAAGTTGCCCCTGATGATATGTGGGGCTCGGGACGCCCGAATTATCCGGGGTATAACTCGGGTCCGGGGCAACTCGGGCTCGGATTCCCGAAAAACGAACCCGAGTTAACCCTGACCCGAGTTGCCCCGGATGATTCGGGGCTCGGAGGGAGCGCGCCGCGCCGCGCGAGCGCGCGCCCGGGCAGCTGCGCTCGCGAGAGCTCCGCGCCGCCGGGCGGCGCGCCCCCGCCGCGCCCGGGGCGGCTCCGAGAGGCCCCCCGCTGCCGCGGCCTCTCCCCACGGACGTGCTCTCGCGGCGTGGCAAGGTCGGGGCGGGAAGCTCTGCTCCTCGGTTCCTGGGCCCCGGGGGGCCCCGAAGCGGGGCCCCGCGACCTCCCCACACGTGCCCGCGGCGTGGCAGAATCAGGGCGGGAAGCTGCTCCTCGGTCTGGGCCCCCGTGGCCCCGAAGCGGGGCCGGCAACGAAGCGACTCGGGATGAGAAGCTGGTTTTGGTGGCGCGCACAAGGGGGTATAGGGGGATGGGGGGAGGGCTTCTTAGAAGCAGGCTGCTTCTTGGAAGGCGCCGGCCTTGCATCTACAGATGAGGCCCGCGCCTTCCAAGAAGCAGGGGTGCTTCTAAGAAGCTCTCCCCCCTCCCCCATACCCCACTCTGCGCGTGGCCGATGGTTCCGGGAAAGGGCGGGGACTTCCACACTGCACCGCGCTGGGTGGCGATGCCAGCACGGGCCTGAATGCACCTGCCGTGAAGCCGGCCACGAGCACGTTCACAGGGTCCTGAGCCGCCACCGCTGCGAGCACGTGCACGGAAGGAAGTTGGGCGCTGCTGAACGGGGGTGCGAGAGACGGCGGGGCGAAGAAACGTGTACCCCCCGTGTGCCCCCTCTTGGGCCCCAGAGGGCCCGTTGAGGGCCCCTGAAGTGCACGAAAGGAAGTGCACCAATTCTCATCCCCCCCTCCATCTGTCGCCAACCCACCACGCAACGCGCGAGGAGGACGTGCGCGCGCGCATCGAGGAAGCTGGCGGCGCATCACCGAGTGTGACGCAGGTGTGGGCGAAGAGTTGCCTGGCGACTGATGCATGCTCGGGGCGTCCTGGATGCCTGTCGATAGGTGCCTCGGGTGGTCAGTTGAGGGCACTGTGCGTGTGGCAGGGGGACAGGTTTGTTTGCAGGCCGGGGGTCTTTGGTGTTAGAGGCCTCCTAGATGGGTTCCGAGTCTGGGGTCGGAGGATGCGCCGCATCGCCGATGCATCGCCAATGCATCGGTGACGTCGGCGATGCATCGGCGACATCGGCGTGGAGAAAATCGGACTCCGCATCGAGCCACATCGCCGATGCATCGACGATGAGGCGCCGTCCTCCGACCCCACCTACTCGGACTCCATCTGGGCGGCCCAGAGGGAAAGGTTTGCTTGGGGATGGGAGACTCTGGCATTCAGTCCTCAAGAGGTTGGAGCGTCATAGGGGAGGCCATGCCATCACGTCATCAGCGCCAACGCTGCCGCCATCGACGAGTACCGCCGAGAGGCCATTCGACCACCCACAAGGCATCACGAGGCCACGAGCCCGAGCCTGCCGAACACAGAATGGATCGAACGGGCGCCTTGACCTCTCAGTGCACTTCAGCCCCCAGGGAGCCCGAGAGGGGCGGGCGCGCGCGCACCTCCCGCTCCGCCTCAGCGGGCGGCCTCCCGAAACTGAAGGGGCCCCAGGACACACAAACAAATACACACAAACAAAAATATGCCCCATATTTTCCCATATTTTCTGGGTTTCTGTCTTCCCCCCCACTTCCCATCTTTTCCCATATTCTCCTGGGGATCGACGATGAATTGTGTCTGTGTGTTTTTCCCCTCCTGAGAAACGTCGGGCACGCCCGCGCGGCGTCGAGGAGGCCCGCCCGCCGCCGGCGGGCGGGGCGGGCGGCCGGCGGGCGGCCCTCGGCGGCCTCTCGGCGGCCCCTCCGCGGCCGCTCGGCGGCCTCTCGGCGGGCCCTCGGCGGCGGCCCTCGGCGGCCCCTCGGCGGCCCGCCTGCGGCCTCTCGGCGGCCCGCCGGCGGCCTCTCGGCGGCCCTCCGCCGGCCTCTCGGCGGCCCTCCGCGGGCACGGGCGGCCTACGCGCGGTGTGCTCGGGCCCTGGCCGTCGTCGCCGCCGTCGTCGCCGCCGTCACCGTCGTCGTCGTCGCCGTCGCCGTCGCCGTCGCCGTCGCCGTCGTCGTCGTCGTCGCCGTCGTTGCCGTCGCCGTCGCCGTCGTCGCCGTCGCCGTCGCCGTCGTCGTCGTCGTCGTCGTCGTGGTCGTCGTTGCGCCGCCGCCATCGCCGTCGTCGTCGTCGTTGCGCCGCCGCCATCGCCGTCGTCGTCGTCGTCGTCGTGGTCACCGTCGTTGCCGTCGCCGTCGCCGTCGCCCGCGTCGCCAACCGGCCGCTCCGCCCGCTCGCCCGCGCCCGCCTCTGGGGCTGGCCCGCGGCTGGCTGCCTGGCGCCAGGCGCGGGAGGGCTCCTCCTCTTCCTTCTGCTCCTCCTCCTCTTCCTTTTCCTCCTCCTCCTCCTCCTCCTCCTCCTCCCTCGTCCTCCTCCTCCTCCTCCTCCCTCGTCCTCCCCCCTCGTCTTCCTCCCTCGCCACTCCTCCGCCTCCGTCGTCCTCCCCCCTCGTCTTCCTCCCTCGTCGCTCCTCCGCCTCCTCCTCCTCCCTCATCCCTCCTCCTCCTCCTCCTCCTCCTCCTCCTCTTCCTTCTCCTCCTTCTCCTCGGCGGGTGCGGGGGGGAGCGGGAGCGGGAGCGGCAAGTGGCAATGGGGAGGGAGGGGTAGGGAGGAGGATGAGGACGACAACAACGACGAGCAGGACGAGAAAGGCGATGGCGGCGAGGAAGGAGGACAAGGAGGGAGGAAGAGGAAAAAGCGGACGAGGACAAGGACGGAAGGACCAGGAGGACCACAGTAAACCCAGGATGCACCAGCGATGCTGCATTAGATTCTCCAGTCCCAAGTCTCCTCCTCATAAGTCCCTGCAGCCCTCTCTTTTCACTGAGGGCAGCTCCGCCTTGAAGAAGGACGCCCCGCCATGGGCCTCACACTCAGGCGAAAACCCCATTTTGGAAAAGAAGGCGCCCTCCATCCTTCCCGCCTAAGAAAAGCCGATCGTCATGACCATACACCCCACGGATGTCCAGAGATAGCGCCACTTGAAAAAAATACATCAAAACGTTGCCAATCGGAGCACGTGTCCATGCCCACCCATTCTTCGAGCAACCCAAACGAGCTTAGAAGTTTGAAACGGAGCCGCCCTTCATCCGTCTAGCTGTTGTTCAAATGTACAAGTATGGTCATGCGCGGCGAGAGCCTCGTGGGAAAACAACCGCCTGCATCCCCATAAATGCTGGGAGCTGTTGGCGAACGCGCGGGGAACTGAAATAAGCTATAAGCACGTTGTAAAATATATCCGCTGTCGCGTTTGCAGATGCTGGTGTGTGGTTGCGCTCGTGATGGTGCGTGTGGTCGTGTTTGTGTTTGTGTGTTGGTATTTATGTTTGTGTGGGTGTGCTTATGCTTGTGCTTGCGCTTGGGTTGGTGCTTGCGCTTGTGCGTGTGTTTGTGTTGGTGTTGGTGTTTGTATGTGTGTTTGTGTATGTGCGGGTGTGCGTGCGTGCGTGCGTGCGTGCGTGCGTGCGTGCGTGCGTGCGTGCGTGCGTGCGTGCGTGCGTGCGTGTGTGCGTGCGTGCGTGCGTGCGTGCGTGCGTGCGTGTGCGTGTGTGCGTGCGTGCGTGTGTGTGTGTGTGTGTGTGCGTGCGTGCGTGCGTGCGTGCGTGTGTGTGTGTGTGTGTGTGCGTGTGTGTGTGTGCGTGTGTGTGTGTGTGTCGATGTGTGTGTGTGTGCGTTTGTGTGTGTGTGTGTCGGGCCTTTCTTGTTCCCTCACACAGTCCTTGCACTTGGGGGCTCTCGTTCCTTTTCTCAGGGACTGGGCCTGCCCGTCGGTATGGCGGCTGTGTGGTCGCCGTCGCCGCCCCGTCGCCTCCTCGTCGCCGCGGGGCCTGCCTGCCGGTTTGGCGGCTATGTGGTCGCCGCCGCCGCCCCGTCGCTCTGGGCCTGCCCGTAGGTGTGCGGGCTATGTGGTCGCCGTGGCTGCCCCGCCGCCGTCTGGGCCTGCGATACTTTGCATGCGTTACTTCGCATTGCGCTACGTTGATGTGCCTTGCCTTCTTTGCGTAACTCTGCACTGGTTTACATTGAGTTGCATGTTGGTGTTTGCATTGCTTTGCGTTGCTTGGCATTGCTTTTCGCTGCTTCGGACGGGTTTGTCATGCTTGGCAGTCCTGGGCATCTGGGCAACGATGGGTACGTCAGCTCCCACCACACCGATTGCGCCACATCCCTTACCCAACAACGTAGCTCACACCACATAGATTGCATCACGTAGGATGCACCGCATAGCTCACACAACATGGCTTGCTGCCTGCACGTAGATGGCACCATATAGTTTCCACCACATAGCTGCCCGCAACTCCCTGCGAGGCCAACACCCTCGCATCTGTTCCACCACGTCCGTGCGTCCTTCGCCTTCCGGCAAGACATGGTGCCAACAACGACGGGTCTGGGTACCCGGGTGCAGTGCCCCCCCCCCCACACGCCCCGCCCCCGAGCGTGCCCCGTCCCCCCCCCCCGCCGCACTCCCCCCCTGCCCCCCCGCCCCCCCCCCCCGCTCCCAGGGCGCCCGCCCTGGCGCGGTGGGGGCATCGCGCGGCAGCGCAACTGGACTATTTGTGGCATCCTCGCCGGCGGCGAGCCGGCGGGTGGACAAGAAGTGTCCACACCCGTCGCGCCAATGTGATACGACATCGAACTGCGTCGAATACATGTTCATCGCCCCCGCCCCCCCAACCCAAAGTTGACGGGGTTGGGTGCGAAGCAACGCGCGGGGGACAAAATATGGACACTTCAACTTTTGGTTTTGGGGTGAGAGGGGGGCGAGCCACATGCATATTGCAAGTGTCGTTGACATCATGTCTGATTGTCTTCACGCCGCCGGTGTGGACACTTTTTTGTCCGGACACCGGCGTAGGGGGGACGTGAAAAGGAGAAGGCCTTCTCAGAAGGCGGCGAGACTTCTCAGAAGCCTTCGCGCCTCCAGAAAAGTTGTCTGTGTCGTCGGGGAAGGCTTAGGAAACGTCTCAGAAGGCTGGTAGACTTCCGAGTTTCTTGAGAAGGCCCTACTGACACGGCTGGTGGTGCGACGAGGCGCTGCGAATGATAAATAAATTCAGAAGTGCAGAAAGGATGGGATGGGGAATTCGACGAGGAACAAAAAGAAGAGGATGCGGAGGACGATCATGGACTGGGGGACGATGACGACGATGACGACGACGGCGATGACAACGACGACGACGACGCCCGAAATCCGCTCAAAATAAATTCCGGGACCCTTTCTTGGGGTCCGTCCTTTTTTCTGTTTCCTTTTTTGTGTTATACGTATTGTTGTATTAAAAACAACCTGCTAAGAACCAAGACCACCCCTGAACGTTTCATTCGTCGACTCAGCATGCATTGAAGACTGCAAGCTCGTCCTTTCGCCATCACCAGAGGGGTGAGCGGCGCCCAAAAAGGATGGGGCGTGACACGGAACCCAGCGACCACTCGAGCGGTCCTGGAGGGCACGGCCACGGGCGAGGGGCCGATTTCCAGGTGCAGCACTCACACTCCGCACAGGAGGAGGGGAGGAGGAGGGACGGGACGAAAAGTTCATTGCTTGCCGACGCCAGGCACAGGCAACGTTTCTGTGGCGACGGGCAGTTACCCGAATGCGCGCCTCGAAGTGTTGTTCGGGCGCGCCAGGGATATCGAGACGGCGGCAGTGATGAAGAGAGATGAAGGCGCCAACACAGACAGCAAAGAGAATCTTCGACAACATTGGCGATGGTGAAAGCAGAAGGAAGGGGAGGAGCCAGTGCGAACCCTCAAGAAACCACGAAGACGAAGTAAATACGCAGCTGGACCAAACCTTGAAGATAGCACAGACATGGGGACATTGAACATAGTGTTCGACCGAATCGAAATCGTCACTGCCGTCGTCTTGACATCCCAGAACACATCCAGCAGAGCGAGACTTAAAACGCCTTGATGTGCACATCCCTCGGCAGGATCCCCACAATCATGTACGGTTCGGTCTTCTGGGCCACGAAGAAAGAATTCAGGAAACAACGGTCAAGATGTTTCTCAAGTACCGTAGAAAACCAAGCACGAACATGGCGAAATATAATACTCCTCGGATCCTCAAAACGCATATGCCATGCAGTAAGGAATTCGTAGAGGCGCGCCTGCAACTTTGCAGCGGAGCAGTCCACCGCACGCGGAAGAGAATATAACCAGGCATGCAGTTCACCCATGTAAGACAGAAAGCTGCGGGTCCACCACCCCGGAAACATCCGAACAAACACGTGATCTTCGTGATGTTTGATATTGCGAAGACGGTCGAACACCGCCCCCGCACCTCCATTCTTGATCATATAACGCAGACAGGTAGCACGGGCAAGACAGGCAAGTTCGTGAAACTGAACTGTGAGCAAGACCTGCTTCAGCTGCGTGCAAAGGGCGCACGAGAAAGCATGTCGGGGGCCCGCGGTAAGATGCATGACAGCTCCGCGGTAGCGCCTCAAAAGCTCAGCTGACACCGGGTGGGCCTGGGGCGTGAATAAGACCACCGAGACGCAAGCGACGCGGAAAACAACCGCCGACTCCACCAGGCCAAACCCAGGATGCCTCGCAATGCCAGACCGAGCCTTGAATGTCGGAATGACCTCCCTCCAAGACTCAAGATGATAATAAATCCCAATAGACACTTTTAGATACTTAGCACTTTGGACCACTTGTAGCTGGCAAAAATCCCCACGCAGGGCAGCAATGGAGTTTCGCATGCACTGAAAGTCAAGGCTGCCCGAGATCAAACAAAACACACTCACGAAAGTTAAGGCTAAGTTCAGCTACGGGGGCAAAATTCTGAAGAGCGCGGAGAACAGGCCCAAGAAGCCGAAAGACGTCGAGAATCCCAAAAAGAAAATCGCCGGCGCAAGCAAGCGCGCGATCAACGCGACTGGAAAGCCGACTCTCGGCCCACCTCAATAGTAGATCTGCGACGAGAACGAATAGGATCATATTTGACTGGCACCCTTGCGCCACTCCCCCCCCATCTTTTTCTCCCCATGCCTCCGCCCACCATGCAGAATAGTAGCTGGCTGGTCCGTATGCAGCGAGGAGAAAAAATGCAAAGCGCTGCGTAGTCCCATTCCACGAAGGACAAATAGCAGCCACGGGATGGCAAGCGACGGGAATGCAACACATAAATCCGCCATCAGAAGGCAAGCGTTCTCATTCGCTAGGACATGCTGGTCCAAGGCTCAGGCTTCCGCGTCAACAACGTTCGACATCATATCCCGCGCCTTCACGCACTTCTGGTCTGCGGACCTAAGCTTAGATTTTTTTCGGCCGGGGGGGTCGTCATCGCGCCGGCGAGCGCTCGAATTATCAGCGTTGGACATGCCAGAGGGCCTGATATCTTTAGGCCCGCGGGAAACGTCGGCCCAAACATCTCCACCATCGGGGCGGCTGGGAAGAAAAAACACAAAGCTGCGTCGCATCGACGGCGGAAGCGCCTCCACTTGCACAGAGAGAAGACAGAGGTGGGCATCGGAAAGCGCCCGCGCAGCAGCGGGGGCCTTCCAGGCCTCATGCGGCGCCCCATCAGGTCCCGCCATACTGTGCGCACGACCCAAGATGTAATCGAAGAACTGGGGGTAGGAGAGCTGCCAGTCCACCGGAGGGTCTCCATGGAGTTTCTGAATGTGCTCGGCGATTTCGGGGCCACAGGGGTTGGTCGAGGCCGGCGGAGGCGAGCACCTGCGACGAGTGATCCTGAAGGGTCTGTGCAGCAGACTCCACGGTGTCACGCGGCGAGCCATCGGGCTGGCAGACGCAGGTGAGACACGTCCAACCCCTGTACCTCCTCCACAACTCCTGCGAACGAAGAATACGATATGTATGACTAGTCTTGGTCTCCTCCGAGCCCTCCGACACCGCGACCCCCCCCCCCCATCTCCTGATCAGAAGGCTGCATCTGCACCGAACGGATGAGACAGCAGAGGCCGTCCACATTCACGCAGCGAAAGGACTGCATGTCAAAGTGGGTAGAAAGGACTGCATGTCAATGTGGGTTGATAGGGTCGGGTAAGCCTTTGTCGCAGCAGCCATCATCTTTACCCTCCCCAATCCCCACCCACTATGCGAATATAACGCCCGGTGGTGTCTGAGCTCGAGCGAGTCCGCAGGCGCCGGGCGAATAATCTCGCACGCCTGCTTAGCAGCAACAAGCACGAGAGACTTGATCGCCCCCAATCGGCACCGCGCCGAACAATCAGGCGCGCGAGCGCCATGCTCGGAGACCAGCAGCTCTAGCTTGACAGAGTACTCGGGATGAAAGGCGATATACTCAGGCATGGCAGGGTAGTCTTTGGAAGGGGATGAAAGGGGAGAGAACGGCAGAGACATGAATGCGACCGCTAGGCATGCGCGGCATGAGGCGACCGACAACCCCACTGCGAACGTCAAAGTCACGAAGCACTGCCAGCGGCAAACTCGAGTAGATGCGATCGAGACGTGCCGTGCTGACAATGACCCCATCCCGTATCTCCCATATGGTGTCGCACTCTTGATATATGTCAGTCACACGTGCAGATAGGCGGTGAAGCAGACGCGAATGCGCCTTGTCTCCAGCACTTCATCCACTGCCATCTCCCTTCATCCGACCTCCCCCCTCCAACGCAAAGTTGAAATCTCCCAAGATAATCCGATGGGAGTCAGCGGCAGCATCGCAGGGAGCTCGTAGTGCCAGCAAAGCAACACTGTAGGTGGCAATCGTGTCGCTAGTGTTTGGCAGGGGCAGATTGAAAATCACCAAGTTACCTGAGGGGCCTGTGCACGAAGTACAAAGCACACGACCCACAGACACCTCAGAATGGGAAATAAAAAAAACAGTGACGAAACCGCAGGCCCGAGGACCGTGACGTTGAGAACCAGCGAAGAAACTGCAACCGATGTTGTACCCAAGACGGGGCCCATCCAGCTCCCGAAGGATGTCTCCAATGTAACCGCAATGCCCATGAGTTTCTTGACCACAGAGAACGCGGAACTCACGAGCGAGGGAAAGAAATGACTTGTATCGGGCGCTCGAGCGCTACGATGAGCTGCGAACGCTGGCAAAGAGACCTTGCGTGTTCCAGCTACAGACCGAGATGGGTGCAACGGGAGTGAAGAACAAAAAGCTCGGCAGAGGGGAGCTACTATAACCACAAATGTCGTCAGTATTCGGAAGAGAGCAGGGGGCGGGCAAGAGAGGAACCGGCGACGGCGTCAGACAGCGCCCGTCAGCGGCAAAAGGGCTGCTTCAAAAGCGTGGCACCCGCCCCACGGAAGGTGGCACAGTGCTGATTAATGCCAAACTCAAGAAGCGACGTCGCGTCCAGTTCTAATCCGAGGGAATTGTCAGGAGCGGCCCTAAGCTGGGCAAGCACAACGGGATCGTCCGACTTCCTTAAGACACCAATGCAACCTCCAAGACCGTTGTTGCTGACCTCATATCCGCGAGGCTGGAGAAGTTCGGTCATAGCAGCCCTCACTTTACCCATGCGAAGGAATAGCTGACTGTTTTTTTATTATCAACATCCCTCCGCACACGGAGGCATCGCAGGGCCACCAAGAGGACCAGGAAATTCACAAGGGCAACCAGCTTCACACTGAAGAAGAAAGTTGCTCGCTGCTGTCACCGCTTCGAAATGGAATGTAGCCTTGCGCGCGAGGTCGAAAGCCTTAGCCGTGAGGTTATTCTGCTCATTCAGCGGGAAGTATTTAGAACGAATCGCCTCGCCAGCAGCCTTCAGCGTGCTGGACAGCATCCTGCGGGGAAATCCTAGAATGATCAACTTTGTCGTGTTGTCCTGGGCATGCTCAACTCGACTGGAGTTGTCACGCGACGATGTACGAAGAGAAGAAGCAGGCCGAGCCATCTGCTCGAGACGCGCCTCGATGTCGGAGATCTTGGCCTGAACACTCGATGAAGCAATCGAGACGGTGTCGGACAGCGCACTGGGCGTTGGAGGGGTGGCTAAAATACACAGCTGCGACATGAGGTTCGCAACTTGCGACGTCACACCCGTGAAGGCCGCAGCGCGCTCGCCCTCTCAAGTTGAGCCAGCTGAGAGCGAATATCATTTCCCATCGTCTGCATCTGCGTAGTGAGGTAGTCACAACGATGCTGCGTGGCTTCCATCTGGTCCGTGGCGGAGGGCGCCACTTGTTGAGATAGCCCTTGGAGCGAGGTGATAATGAGGTTCATCTTGTCAGGCTGGCCTGACCTTTTGTGACTAGCACGAACATCGTCACGAGAACAGCGGCTCTTGCTGCGAGAAGAAGAAGAAGACCGAGGGCTCGGCGAGGCTGTGCGGGCAGAGCTGCGTCGCGGACGCTCCCCACGCGTCGGCATCGCAGCAGTGGACTGAGAGGGAGCGGAAGAAGAGAAAAGTGCGAAGCGAGAAACGCCGCACCTGGAGGCCCCTCGAGCCTCCTTGTCGGCCGCGGACAAGGATCAAACCCCAGGGCGACGGTTCGAGCCTTGAGCCAAAATGGTTACGGATCTTTTGGGGTCCGTCCTGAATTGTTTTTGTTGTACCCTGGGCCGAATTCTGACGGTCCCGGGCAAAGGGCTTCCAGTGGCACAGAATGGCGAAAAGCTGTCCGAAACTCGACGACGACGACGACGACGACGACGACGACGACGACGACGACGACGACGACGACGACGACGACGACGACGACGACGGGCGGCGGCGGCGAGCGGCGCCGCGGCGTCCAGGCCGCCGCGAGGGCCCGCGCCGAGGGCTCGGGCTGCACCGCCCCGGCGTCCTGCTGCATCCGCTGCGGCGGCGGGGCGCCGAGGCCCGCGTGCCAGGGGCATCCGGGGGGGGGCAGAGGCCTGTAGATCTCGGCGGAGGGAAGGACCGAGGAGGAGGAGGAGGAGGAGGGGGAGGAGGAGGAGGAGGAGGAGGAGGAGGAGGAAGAGGAGGAGGAGGAGGAGGAGGAGGAGGAGGAGGAGGAGGAGGAGGAGGAGGATCGAGCATCGTTCGCCGGGCTTGAGCATCGAGTGCCGAAACCGTCTCGCTCTCGGAGCGAAGAAAAGGTTTCCTCGGACGCAAAATTAGAACTGTCCCAGAAATGCAAGAAATAAGCAAACATACTAGGAAAATCGTCCCTGGACTCTTTTTTTGACTAGTCTTGAACATTCCCCCTGTAGAGGGACGTGCCCGGCTGAACTAGAGGGGCCTGGCTCCAGCGCCAGGCAGGCAGCCTCCGGATCAAATGCTGGAGCGAGCGAGGGAGCCACGCCGTCGGGGCGTGGACCTCATAGGGACCCTGCACGAGGAGCGAGGCCTCATTCTTTTATGTCGGGCGTGTCCCCTACAGGGGGAGCTTCGACGAAAAATAGACTAGAAATACCCCAACAATACACCAAAAAGGTGCGTTTATACATATATATATATATATATGCAACAAAAACGAATAGTCCCTTGACTATTTTTTGGCATAAGGAGCGAGGCCTCCCTCTTCCATCAGTGAGACTTCAACATCTTGCCGTCGCTTGGACGTCCATTCCCCGTGCATGTTTCGGTGTCGTGCGTGATTTTGTTTGCTCGATGGTCCAGGATGGTCCTCGATGGTTCTCGCCGAGAAGAAACGCACACGTCCGAGCGATGCCAAGACATTTCCCATGGACGGCCGGAGGAAAACCTGAGGCAAGCTGCAAAACAGTCCAGGAGCACCGAGCCCCTCCCCAACGAGGGGGGCTCCTCCTCAAGCGCCCTGGCCGCAGAGCGGGGAGCCGTGCGGCAACAGACCCCAGACTATCGAGCGAAAGGAGAGTCGGAAAAGCATGCGGCGTCCCAGCCACCAAAGTCGGCCAGGCGAAACCCGGCCAGGCTTAAGTCGGACCTGTCCTCCGACAGGGGGATTTTGGACGAAAAATGCAAATACCCCCAAAATATCCCCAACTGGCCAAAACTGGTAAAAAAAATCGTCCCCTGAGCATCTTTTGGCTATTTTTGGAATTTCCTCCAGCAGAGGGACAAGCCCGAGTTACGGCCGGGCGGAACTCGGCTGGGCGGAACTCGGCCGGGCGAAACTCGGCCGGGCGGAGCTCGGCCAGGCTGCATGCGGCCCGTGCCGAGCTCCGCCTGGCCGAGCGCCAGCTGGCCGAGCGCCGTCCGGCCGAGCCTGTTCCCTGTCCAGGGGCTGTAGGGGCCTGCCTCTGCCCCAGGTGCCAGTCGGAGGAGAAGGAGGAAGAGGAGGAGGAGGAGGAGGAGGAGGAGGAGAGGAGGAGGAGGGGGAGGAGGAGGAGGAGGAGGAGGAGGAGGAGGAGGAGGAGGAGGCGGAGGAGGAGGAGGAGGAGGAGGCGGAGGAGGCGGAGGAGGCGGAGGAGGAGGAGGAGGAGGAGGAGGAGGAGGAGGAGGAGGAGGAGGAGGAGGAGCGATCGAGGGGCACACTGCGCAGCGCCCGAGACGTCGGGGCCCCTGGGGCGGTCTAAGCCCCGCACGGCCTGCCCGCCCCAGATCGCCCCTTGGGCTCACCAGGCGGTGCGGTCCTGTATCGTGACTACCTACCAGACCACCCCAACCCAACCCGAAGACCCGAATTTCGGGTTGGGGGGGTACGGGTTCCATGTGTGTTTTCTCGATGTTCCCCGACCCCCCCCCCAACTGGAAATGGAGGGCAAATCGAGACCTTCGGGTTGGGTTGGGGTGGTTTGGTGGGTGGTGGTATCGGGACACCCGACATTTTACCAGCCTCGAACGTATCCCTATCCCTAAGATTGACGCGCCAAAGGGCGATGACAATCTTAGGGGTTCGCCCTCAAAACATAAGGGAATCCCTAAGATCGGCATCGTGATGGGGAGTTGCCCAGCATAGGGGTAGGGATATGTTCCAGCCTGGTAAACGTTAGGTGCTCGTTCTGGGGGCCCTCCTGGAGCCGCTCTCGCTCCTCTCGTGCGTCGCTGCTGCGTCGAACGCCCGCTGCCTGGAGTCGGCGTTGAGCCGACCTGGAGCAGAACTTTCGTCGAGCCAGAAGCGAACAGACATCGGACTGGAGCTGGGCGGGTCCGCGAGGTGAGCCCCGGGCAGGCCCCACGGGACGAGCACCGAGCCAGGAGGCTCCTCGGAGAGCGAGGGGGGGTCCTGACGGGCAGAGGCAGGAGGGAGGAGGGAGGAGGGAGGAAGGGAGGGAGGGAGGGAGGGAGGGAGGGAGGGAGGGAGGGAAAGATCCTGCCCCCGTGGAAAGGGCGGGGCCTGTTCGCCGGTGGGCCCTGCGTGGCGGGCCCAGCCCACGCCGCGAGCCCTCGGGCCCCCAAGAGCCCCAGGCCCCAGGCTGGAGGCCCAAGCCCCGAGCCCCAGGCCGCGAGCACGAGACACAAAGCCCCAGACGCCCAACGCCCAAACCCAGAAGCCAGACCCAGAACACCAAACACCCAGCCCACAACCTCCAACGCCCAACCCTCAAGCGCCAAACGTCAACACCCCAACCAGCAGACTCCGGCCCCCAAACACCCACCCCCAACACCAATGCTGGCAGTTGAATTCCATGCTTGAATGCGTCAAGAAGTATATAGCAAGGCCAGGTGCCACATGACTCCTTATGTAAAACTCTTCTTCGCCAGCGTGAACCCCAAGCAGTGAGTTATTGCAAGGTGGGTGTGAAAGGTCAAGTGCGCATCATATGTGTTGCAAAATATGGTATGCAGAATATGTGCTACAAGCTATGTGATGCAACCAGGGCGGTGCAGGCTACGTGGTGCAAACCGTGAGGTGCAGGCCAAGCGGTGCAAGCAATGCGTTGCGCGCTGTGCAGCGCGAGCTCTATGGATCGGCATGCGTGGCGCGAGCAGCGCGATGATCTCTATGTGGCGTGTGGTATGTGGTGTAGTCGGGGGCAAACAAACCTACCTCGCTTTTGACCACCCTCGCTTCCAAGATATACCAAGCGATGCCAAACTACGGCCTGTACTGGTCAGGCCGCTTGACGAGGCGGCGCGTGGTACGACTCGGTTTTGCCTGGAAGCGAAAGCGGGGCAGGTCATTCACGCTCTGGTGTAGGGCTGTGTGTTGTGGCCTGCGTGGTGCCAAGCTGTGCGGTGGAAGCTGCGCGGCAGCATCTGTGTGCTGCCAGCTGCGCGGCGCAAACCGTGCCGCGCGAGCAAAATCCGTGCGGCCGCCCACGGGGCGCCCACAGGGCTCCCGAGGGCGGCCACGGGCGGGCAGCGCGATGACCTCTATGTGGCGTGTGGTATGTGGTGTAGGCTGTGTGTTGAGGACTGCGTGGCGCAGGCTGTGCGGTGGAAGCTGCGCGGCAGCATCTGTGTGCTGCCAGCTGCGCGGCGCAAACCACGCCGCGCGAGCAAAATCCGTGCGGCCGCCCACGGGGCGCCCAACAAGGCCCCCGAGGGCAGCCACGGGCGGGCACGGTGGCTGCGACACCTCGGCACACTCCCGCCCGGGCGCACGGGGCGCCGACGCTGTGGCCACGAGGCGCCCACGAGCAGAGGCACCAGCTCGCCATCGCTCGGACGTCCATTCCGTGTTTTTTTCCGGTTTCGTGCGTGGCGTTTTCGCCAAATGATCCAGGATGCTCCTCGATGGCCCTCGCCGAAGGAAAAAGCACACTTCCGAGCGATGCCAAGCCAGGCGAGACCTCGACGCACCCGCCCAGCGCAAGGGGCGCCCACGAGGCGCGCGCGAGGCGCCCATGGGCGTCCACGAGAGGGCGCGAAACCTCGACACACATCCACCCAGCGCGCGAGAGACCTCGCCACGCACATCCAGTTCCCCAGGGGCACAGGGCAGACCCCCTGGTGCAAGCCTTGCTTGGGAAACAGAAGCAGTGCAGCACACGAGAGCAGACTGGATCCGCCCCCAGGCCTGCACGGAGTGGCCGTGCTCGAGGGCTCTTCTCTTGTCTGACAAGGTTTGTTTAAGGTGTTCTAGCGCCGACCCCCCACCTCTACGCACGCGTCCCTAGAAAACCCGCCCCACTCCCCAGAGCCGATGTGGGGTGATGCTCCCAAACCTAAAAAAATGACGGACCGAAGACAAGCCCCTCGGAGTGGGGTCAAAACAGGCCCCCCCGAGTGGGGTTAAAACATGCCGCCCCGAGGGGGGCCAACACAGGCGTCAAAACAGGCCCCCCCGAGGGGCGCCCAAGAGAAAACAAGAGGCCCCCAAGAGGCCCCCAAGAGAAAACAAGCTGCCCCCAAGAGGCCCCCAAGCGGCCCCCAAGAGGCCCCAAGAGGCCCTCAACATGCCCTCAAGACGCCCCAAGAGGCCCGAAAGACCGCCCTGGGGCATCCAAAACGTCACAGGGCACCTGCCAAAGGCCCCAAGGTGCTCCCAAGAGGCCCCCAAGAGCTGACAGGAGGCTCCCGAGACGCCCCGAAGGTCCACAAGAGACCCCGAGAGACATCCCAAGAGATTCCAAAAAGGCATCCAAGAAGCCTCTGGCCCACGGAGGCTCCCCGAGCTCTCCAACGTATGCCACGCTCCCCCGAATGAGGGCGGCTCCCCGTGGGCACCGTTCCTGGATGGGCGAGAGCGAGGATGCGCGAAGCGCTAAGAATTCAGACCCCGTCCTGCTACGCTCTTGCAGGGGCAGGGTGGCGGGGGTCTGCCGCAGTTGACTGTATACGTTGCGCATACATGGACAACGGCGAATGCGAACACGCCTACGACACACCTCATGAAAAGTTGTTGCGACCATCAGCACATGGTAGTGCTACGATGAAAACGTACCCGAGACACAACTGTTATACACAGCATACCAGTACTGAGTACGGTGTTGTGCATCAGCACATGGTAGTGCATACTGCATACCGAACCGAGACACAACTGTTATACAATTGAACGTGGCTGACGCATGATTCGGCACGGCCAAGACCTATACTAAACGTTCCAAGCAGCTAGTAATACACACCCCAACTTAACATAACGCCTTCGGGGCATATAATACAGGTGCAGAAACAACTGGTATATCATAACCGCTTGGTTTTGAGGCAACGAATGAATTACCAAGCATCTCAAACGGAACTAACTTACAAGGCGGGCATACCCAACTCATGTCTGACTGTTCCACTGTTGCAATTCTGCTTCTTGCTGCTTACTGTTCCTTGTTGATGGACCGCGCGAGGGGGGGGAGGCCCAAACGGGCAGGCTTAGCACGCCCTGAGCGTGTGCTCTGAATTGCTGGGGTGGGTAACAATTAACACCCCTCACGCAGATCGGCGGGGGCAGGGTCCAACAACACACGGGATTTGCCACATTTCTGAAATTCGGTGGCACCCCTCACGCAGATCGGCGGGGTCAGGGTCCAAAAGCACACGAGATTTGCCACATTTCTTAAATTCGGTGGTACCCCTCACGCAGATCGGCGGGGTCAGGGTCCAAAAACACAGGGGACGTGCCACATTTGTGAAATCCGGTGGCACCCCTCACGCAGATCGGCAGGGTCGGGGTCCAAAAACACATTTCTGAAGTTTGCTGGCACCCCTCATGCAGATCAGCGGGGGCAGGGCCCAACAACACAGGGGATGCGCCACATTTCAGAAAATGCGATGGCACCCCTCCGAAAACCCAAGGGATTCTCAACATTTCTGAAATCCAGTGGCACCCCTCACGCGGATCGACAGGGTCAGGGTCCAAAAACACAGGGGATGTGCCACATTTCAAAAAATGCGATGGCACCCCTCACGCAGATCGGCGGGGTCAGGGCCCGAAAACCCAAGGGATTCTCAACATTTCTGAAATCCAGTGGCACCCCTCACGCGGATCGACAGGGTCAGGGTCCAAATGCATACGGGATTCGCCACATTTCTGACATCCGGTGGCACTCCTCACGCAGATCCGTAGGGTCAGGGTCCAAAAACATACGGGATTCGCCACATTTCTGAAATTCGGTGGCACCCCTCACGCAGATCCGTAGGGTCAGGGTCGAAAAACAAACAGGTCCCGACACTGCTTCACGGCGGCGCCCAGACCTCATGATTTAGCTTTTGCATCTCCCATTATCCGAGACAGGGGGCCGGCGGCATGGGGCGAAGCCCTTACGGATAAACAACAACTGGTATTGCTGCTGGCGTTTCTTCGGAACTGCTCACTTTTAGTATGCCACCCCGTTGTCTGAAATGTGAGCGCATTTATAGTCATGCGCCTGTGTATTAGCATGTTCATGCGCACGCGTGCTTTTGAAGCATGTCGTGAATTCAGCCGTTGAGCAACAGAACAGCTACCTGCGGCATGACGACGACCAACACGGCTGATAGCAGCACCGCGGCTGAAGGACCGAGACATGCTCAACGTCGCTTGGATCTGCATCCACGACTGACGAGGTCTGAGGATTCCCGTCTGTGGCCACGCTGGTGCATCGGCCCTGGATGGGCTCTGCATCGCCTATCTCCGGCCCTCCTCCTTGTTTGTTTGTGTGAGTGCATCAGCCGCCTCAGCATGTGGTCGCGCCGCCAACTCACAAGCTTTGCGCGTGCGCGCGTGCATATGTCTGATCATGTGTGTGCCCGTGTGCATGCAAGAACAAAGCGCGAGATGGCAAAGAGGCGGCAACGGACATGCTTCTGAAAAGGCTCGTTGCCCCGCTGCACGAAGCCGTAAGCTCATGTGAAAAACAGTGAGGAAAATCAATGGCAACCTCGTGCGCTTCAGATCCGATCCCCTAGATCCCAGCTGTGCTTCCTCACCGGGGAACGTACTGTTGAAGATTGACCAGGTATCCCACTTCCGCCAGGGAACGTGGGAACAAAAACACAAACAAACACACGTATCTGTGTGCTTTGTGTGTTTCTGTGTTTTTGTGCGTTTTTCCTCCGCAGCCCCTTCCACTGGAGAACGAGCCAGTATTCTTATTATTCTTATTATTATTATTACTATTATTATTGTGTTATTTTTGAATTCAAAACACAAGTTCTGGAGAACGAACCACTTCAGCGGGGAACGAGCCTGTCGCATTCCTACCGCCCCCCGTGCGACCGCCCTGGAGCGGCCTGCCCCCCTCTCTGGCGGCCCCTCCTCCGCAGACTCGCGGGCCGCAGCCACAGAAGGCTCTGCTCGCGCGGGCAGAGGGCATCCGTTGCGAGGACTGCCGGGAGCGACCGGTATCGTTCGCACGGGGCAGCCTGGCTCCACGCGCTCCTCGTGCCTCCTCCCCCGCCGCCCCCAGTGGTGACGATGATGAGCCCACTGCCGCGCGCAACGCCCAAGGAGCTGAAGTTGAAGCTGGAAGCTGCTCCCAAAGCGGAAGCCGACTGTCGAGCGCCTTCATCTTCAAGCCACCGTGTGATTAACAAAGAAAGGAGCCCAATTCGAAAAACTAAGCCGTGTATCCAGATGTGGCACGTGTCCGCACAACAAAACTTCGGGTCCTTACTGCTGAGAGGGGTCGGCGGCAGTGGCCGTAGGCGTTTATATGAATGCTGCTGCGATATTGAGCACCAGCGTCAGCTGGGGCCTCGTGAGGCTCAGGTGCTGCTTGTCGAGGTCGTTCAGGGGCGACTCTAGAAAGACGTTGATTCTGCTATCATCCATCGTCAGCTGCAGCCCGAGACCGAGGGGATCAACCACCTGAGGGATCAAGCTTGCCTGGACATTGGCTGGCAGCGCGCACCAGGGGGGGGCGTGAGCAGGGAGCCTCCCAAGCAAGCGGCGGGGCTTCCTGGAAGGCGGGGGCCTTCTTAGAAGGCCAACCCCGCGCGCCACCTCCTTGTACGCGCCGCCGGCTTCGCCCTACAAACTCTATACACCGACGCTTTTTCTGGCCCCGCACCGCACTGAAACTCGCACAGAAAAACAGATCTTGGTGTATACGGAGTCCGGGTGTATACGATTCTCGTTGTTTCCGCCAGAAACAAGGGAAACAAGTATACGCCACACCACACCGACGTCGTCCCCGACCCTCAAGAAGTCCTGGGATTGAAAAACAGCCTGCCCAGCGTTACGTCATCGTGCGAGCAGAGGGCACGCAAAAGCGATACGAAACTTTGCGATGCGGCCGAGCTTGGTTGGCGAGGACGCGCGGAAGGACATGAGACGCTTCGGAGGGCAGCACGGCCTCCAACCAGGGTACCCCTGCCCCAGGAGTGCAGCGGGCATGAGACGCCAGGCACAGGACACAGGGGCAAACTTGACTTGGAAAGGTCGACCTGCCAGTTCAAACCCGACCGTGGGAAATCAAGGGGCACGCTTCGGTCGTTCAACCTTACACGTCGTTCATGTCTAATCGTGCTCATTTCTAATTGTGCTCGTTTCTAAGTGTTCATGGACCCCTAGTGGCCAGGAAGAGGCCCAGGATAGAACAATTAGAAATGAAAGGATCTTGGCCCCCAAAAAACCAGAGAACTGTCGAAGAATTAGACATGAACAATGTGTACCAATTCAAACTCGATTGTAAGAAATTAAGGGGCACGCTTCGGTCGTCGAGCCTTGAGCTTTTCAGGGGCGCCCTAGGGCCCCTATAGGGCTTCGTGTGCGCCGAGGGCCGTCGGGGGATGAGCAGCTTCCGTGGAGCAGCTGCTGGCAGGCACAGCTCCTATTTGACGTGCCTACGTACTACATTTGCAGCTTGGCCTCGCGCCAGCCGGCTCCAGAAACCATGCGTGCCCTGGCAATCGCTCCCCTTCGGGGGTCACGGTTGCTTCCTCCCTCGCGGCGCTGCACCCGCTCAGGCAAGCAGCCGGGATGTCTCGAATTGGGGCCAGGGGGCAGTTTCCCCATACAAGCAACGTAATGTGGGATGACGATTAAGAAAAAAGGAGGGGGTAACGATTAAAAAAAAAGTGTCCCACACCGGGGGGGAACGCTCAGAAGCAGGGCTCGCCTGTGCGGTGTTTCGTCACCGGGGGGGGGGGCGCGCGCCCGAGGACGGCGGGGGGGGGGGATGGAAAAAATAGTTTCCCGGCCCGGGGCCGGTTTTTTCTAATCATCATCCCGGGCGCCGCCGCGTGAACACGACCCCCTGTCATTTAGTCATCGTCATCCTCCATTACATGTCGACAAGCCTCCCACTGCTCACACATCAGCAGGCACTGCGAAACACATCGCCCAGCCACAAGAACCGCCGCGCACGGCGGCGCTCGACCGCGCTCCTGACGCCGCAGGGCCCCGCAGCCCCTGCTTCCGCCGTCTTCCGCACGCCGTCCGCCAGTGGAGCCGTCGACGCTTTCGCCCCAAACGACGACGACGACGGCAACGGCAACGACGACGACGACGACGACGACGACGACGACGACGACGACGATCGCGACGACGACGACGACGATCGCGACGACGACCGCGACGACTACGACGACGACCGCGACGACGACCGCGACGACGACGACGTCGACGACGACAAGGACGACGAGACGACCCCGCCAGCCGTCCACCAGTGCCCGCCGAAGGTGGGTCGTCCACGCCCTGGGTGCGCGGGAGGCGACAGAGGCGCGCAGGGTGCAAGAAGGGCGGTGACCCCCTCTCGCAGGGCGAGTTGAGACAACGCCAACTCAAAATCGATCCTGTGACGGACCCCTCTCTCGCGGAGCCCAAACTACGAGGCCAATCCTTCCACCATGCACCCAACCGGATTGTAGATTATTCTTGGTGGTGGTGGTGGTCATATAATGTGCTCGGACAGACGCACCACTTGTCCGAGCTGCGTCCAGCCGTGGCCACGTTGGGGCCCCCCGAAAGCCAACTGCCGCTGGATCGACTCGCCCTCGCCCTCCTCTGCCAAAACACCACTCCTGAGGAGCGCCGCGCCTACCTCCGCTGCCATCCGCCGAGCCCGGCGGGGCTCCTGCATGTTCCTGCGCCATCCTACAGGATCCTGCACCCATGCCCGGGTCAGTGCACCCCTGGCTCTTCGGGGATGGACAGAACCCCCCTTGAGTAGAATTAGTGACAACGACCTCGGGCCCAAACCTGGCGGGCGCCAGCCTGGACAATGACCCTCGAGAACCGACAACGGACACTTCACGAGTCGACGTGTCAGGGTGGGGGCTCTGTCCACCACCGAGCTCTGCAGGATCCTGCAAGATCCGGCGCTCGGCCTGACCTCCGTTGGCGTGGACCCCCGTCTTATTTCTGAGCCCCGGCGAGCTTCCCGCCAGACCCTGCGGCGGCCGAGGCGCCTGCTCCGGAGCGGCCCCCGTGCGGCGCCGCGCGCGGACGCCCTCCCGAAGGCCGTGGCGCGTGAAGCGCCAGAGCAAGAGCTCGGGAGCTGCTATTCCCCTGCCAGGGTTCCCCTGCCAGGGTTCCCCCTGTGCACGCTACCCTTTGGACGCCCGAAATGGGCACGGAAAGAACGGGCACAATGCCCAACAACAAATGTTGTCCCAAACAAACAGCGGCCGCTGTTGGGCAGGCGGCCTTCTGTCTCGAATGGACACAGGCTGCGGCGGCGTGGACAGCGAGCCCTCTTCAAAATGAGCAGGAACTGCTGTTGGACATTGTACCCATTTTTTCCGTGCCCATCTCGTTCGCGCAGATACCCCCCAAGGAAGGGGGCAGCGTGTCCTCAGCGGGCTGGCGGCGCTACGTCGCACGCCGTCCCTACGACGCCAGCCGTGCCAGCATGACCGCTTGGCCTGCGGGAGGAGCTCGTCTCGAGAGGCGCCCCCGCGAGCGCCCGCAAGCACCCCGGGGGGCCTCGGCCGTGGGCGCCGCGGCGGCGGGCGGCCCTGGCGCCTCCTCCGCAGAGGATGGCCTGCCTGGCCGTGCGGAGGGTTACCGCGAGGAGGAACAGGGCAGCTTTTAATACATCGGATTTTGAAACATATTGGAGCTTTAATGCATGATTAATTTACGGATGGATTTGTGCATGAACTCATCGTGGTTTGAAATTCTAGATCCCTGCATTTTTAATACATGATCCGCACGCGGAGCATGTTTAAAAAACGGCACTGTAGAGAGGTGAAGATAGACGACCACATTCGGGGGGAGCGAAGCGGGGGGAAGAGCAAAGGGCAGGGTAGAGAATCGGCTCACGCAGCTGCTTTCCCCGGCGCCGCCCGGCGCCGGGAGGCGCCCGTGTATCGAGGAACGGGCCCGGCGGCGGGGCCGAACCCAGCTGCATGCAGCAGATTTCGTAACGCCCCCCTCTCCGTATCCCCCCCTTTCGTTCGGCCCGACACGTGCGAGCGACGACCACCAACTGATCTTACGCGATACGACACAGCGACCTCACGCCGCGCATTGCACGGGCCGCCAGCGCGGCCAGCCACAAGGGGATGAGGGCGCTTACGCGCACGAGGAGGAGGAGGAGAAGGAGGAGGAGGAGGAGGAGGAGGAGGAGGCAGCTTCCGCGCCAGTGTCGGCGAACACGACTCCGTTTTAAAACTGCCCCTGCAGGTCAGATTTCTGAAGAACTGGCTGGGAGCCCCTGCGCAGGAGCTGTGGACCGCAGTGCCGGGCTACGTATTTCCTGGCCGTTCCCAGGAGAGCCCATAATCGAATCGATGAGTCGGATCGGCAATCGAAATACATCGGATCGGGGGAAATCGGCAGCCGAGTCGAGCAAAGTCGAACCGGCGGACATCGGCAAGCTGGCAAGCCTCCGTTGAGACATCGGAGCCCGAGTCGGAATCCGAAGCCGAATCCAGTCGGAAGCGGAAGCCATCGGGATCGACCCGAATCGAAGCGGAGGAATCGAAGCGAGCCCGGAGGAATCCAAGCGGAGGAATCGGAAGCCATCGGACTCGAATCGAAGCGGACTCGAATCGAAGCGGAGGGATCCGAAGCCGAATCGAAGCGGACTCGAGTCGAAGCGGACTCGAATCGAAGCGGAGGAATCCGAAGCCGAATCCAATCGGACCCGAAGCGACGCGGAGGCATCGAAGCGAGCCCGGGCCGTTCTTCCCTTGGCGTCCAGAGGCGGGGCACCGCGTGCGCACCGTGCCCGGAGGCCCGCAGGCGGAGGACCTCCTCCTCCTCCTCCTCCTTCTCCTCCTCCTCCTCCTCCTCCTCCTCCTCCTCCACCTTCTCCTCCCATTCCTCCTGATCCCGGCCGTTGCATGGTTCGCAGCCGCGCCAGCCCATGCCACCTGCTTCCAGGCCTCGCGCTGGCTCCCGCAGCCTGTGAGGACCCTGGCGTCTGTCAGGGTGACCTGCACCTCGCTGACCGCGGCTCCCTGGCGGACCTCCAGGAAGCCGAAGTCGACCACGAGGAACTCCTCGGGCAGGGGGGACCGATGGAACAACTGCTACATCCTGCCGGCGATCGGCTCCCCGTAAGGAAGTCGCGACGCGGCTTGCCTGGAGAGCTGCTCGGCAACCTTACGAACCACCGCCGCAGTCCAAGGCGCAGAGCCGCTTCCCAGAGGCGGGTGGCAAGAAGGCGGCGAACGAAAGTGATGACCAGAGGGCTGCCTAAAGTATGCGCGTGAGGGAGCGAAGCATGGCTCTACAGTGAGTCACTCTGACAGAATACATACGCGATCGCATGGAAACGTTCCAGGTCCACGCTGGACGTCCACACACTGGACATCCGCGGAAAGCCGCCCCTTATCCATGGGGTCGCGGCCGAGGTTCCCGGCCCGCAGGGCCGTGGATATGTGCGCTTGTCACCGCCGGTGAAGAGTGCACAAGTCGAAGCGGAAGCGACCACGCGGCCATCCTTAGGACTCATCACGCTTCGGGCCCCGAGTCCGGCGCTGCACAGCTGGAAAACTCAACGGCCCAAAGTAGGCCACTGGCGCGTAATATCGCAGAGGCAAACGGTAGTCGCCCTGAGCACTTCGGGGGCGGTCACGAGGGGGGTGTCCAAGAGGGGGGGGCGCAAATGATGGCCAGCGGCATGTGCGCGGCCCAGGGGTGGGGGGGCCAGGAACGTAATGAAATAAGAAGAGGCGCCATGAAATCTGAGGAAATACCATGGCCCACGCCATGATATCCACCCCCCCTAGTCATCGCCCCCCTCTTTGCCGCCCCCGAGCATTGGGTAAATGTGTGCTCAGCGCACACAGACTTGCAAACACGAGTGGACATAGAGCCGGTGATGGGGTCCACATGGAGCTCCTGCCTAGAAGCTCTGCGTCTGGGGAGGCGTTATGGCTGGAGTCCCCGTCTTGAGGGGCGGGGCCATTAAGGCCTCAAGACTGCCATCTGCCATGGCCCGTGGACGGTACCTTGAGACCTGAGCATATTTTAAGACAGTCCCAACCGCCTTATAGTGGTCTGGCGCCCCAGGGCCCAGGGAGGTGGTCAGAGCGCGCCCCTCCAGAACAGCCCCCCGTGACCGCTGCTCGCGGCGGAGGGAGCGCCCCAGAAATCCAGGCAGAGGCAAATACGAGAAGGGGAAAAGAGCGCAGAGCTTTCGTATGTCTTCATATGTGTAGATATGCACAAACATCTACATCTACATCTACAGTACATCTATAGCTACATCGACATCTACATCTGCATAGACATCTACATCTACATCTGTGTTTACATCTACATCTACGTATACATCTACATACACACATAGATAGACATACATAAATACATATATAGTTTAAACAATGGGCTCCGCTGTCGTCGTCGCCGTCGTTGTCGTCGCCGCCGCCGTCGTCGTCGTCGTTGTCGCCGTCGTCTTGGTCTTCCTAGTCGTCGTCGTCATCGTCGCCGAGGCGGGGGAAGGGAGGAAAGAGAGGGGGTGCAGATCAAGAGGAAAGCACGAAGCAAGAGAGGGCACAGGATGGAGAGGATGAGGACGAGGAGGACGAGGAGGTGGAGGATTTCCTGATGCAAGAAAGCGGGTTGAGAAGGATGGCCTGGCCGCGATGAAGTCGAAAGAGCACGCCGAATGCGATCCTGCCGTTACTTTGTCCCATTCTGGCCAGAAATCCACATCGTTCAAGGCAGTGCCCCGGCGCTGCTTTGAACGACCAAAGCAGCGTTTCAGAACTGCTTTGAAGCGTTTCACTTGTTTGGGCTTTTGAATTCATCATCATCCCCATCTTGGCCGCCCCCGAGGCTTCCGGGGATTCAGCCCTTCTGCCAGGGATGTCCTTTTTCACCCCAGGATGCCCCCCACAGGCCCCCCAAGAGGAGGGGGCAGTGGGGGACCAGAGCAGGCGGGGGCCGAAGAGTAGATTAGCCGAGGAGTGGAGGGAGGAAGACGAGGGCGAAAACGAAGACAAGGAAGGAAAAACTGGGACGAGGACAGAAACGATGACAAACTCGAGGACGAGGACAAAAACTATGAACTATGACAAAGACGAAGGCAAAAACGATGACAAAAACGAAGACAAATACGAGGACCAAAACGAGGACAAAAACTAGAACGAGAAAAAAAGGATGAGACTCGGAGGTCGCCGAGGACTCCCGGGGGAGGGTCTCCTGAATTCTCCAGGTCGGAGCCCCCACAGGGCACCAAAGGCCCAAAGAAGGACGTCCGAAAACACGGGGAAACCTCGATGCCCGATGGAGGAGGCGGACAAAAGAGATGCACGAACACGAGAACAACGAGGCCCCGACATCCCACGACGTGGCGTCTGCCATCCTCAGCCTCAGAGGTCCAAACCCGGGGGGTAATTAGCTTTTCGCCCCGGCTCAGTGTTTGACGACTCCGAGCCCCCTGGCAAAGAAAGGGCTCCCTGAGGCCGAAGGTGAGGGAAGACGACGGGACTGGAGAAGTTGAATTTTCCAGAAACCTTGGGGGCGGTGAGGTCATGAGCGGAGAATTGACCTGTCCATATCCCCGCCCTCGCGGTCTGGACCCCAGGGCGCTGCCCCGTGGCTACGCGGTAGCATGGATATACGTTGGGCGTCCGCATTATCCGGGGTAACTCGGGCCCGGGGCACCTCGGGTTCGGATTCCCGAGAAACGAGCCCGAGTTAGCCCCGACCCGAGTTACCCCTGATGATTCGGGGCTCTAGGCGCCAGAATTGTCCGGGGTAACTCGGGCCTGGGGCAACTCGGGTTCGGATTCCCGAAAAACGAGCCCGAGTTAGCCTTCACCCGAGTTACCCCTGATGATCCGGGGCTCTCAATACGTTCTGCGCAGGGGCTACCCGCGAAGACAACGCTCCGCACCCCCGTAGCCACAGAGTTCTGGCCAGTAGCCCGGCCCGCAAGGCTGCCGATGACGTCTTCCGCCCACGGCCGAGACCCCGATGGATGTTTCACAACGTGGGCAATCAGAGGTTTCGGCCCATTCCCAGGACCTGTTGCTTCCATATCCTGAGACTTTTTGTGAGGACGGTCCTGGGGCCCAGCGAGGGCCCCCAGAGGCCGAAATACCAACACATCTCTCTGTACATTCATATGTGTATATATATATGAATACAGACGTACAAAAATATGTCCATCCATCCATACATACATACATTCATACATACATACATACCGACCGACCGACCGACCGAACGACCGACCGACCGACCGACAGACAGACAGACAGACAGACGTACACACAGACGTAGGTACATCACTCATTCAGGCACTCGTTCACCCATACTTATCGGCATACATACATGTATGCATACATAAACACATACACACATACACACCTCGACATGCACACACATGTACACATACACATACATACATACCTGTCGATCGACCTACATACCTACATGCAGACACACAAAAGTACATGCATACACATACATTCATGTACATATATACATATATATAAAGACATACACAAACACATACATAGGCATGTATGCATACGCACATGCATGCATGCATACGCACATGCATACATACACATACATGCATGCAGACATGCCCACCTACAAACCTACAACCATACATAGATGCATGCATGCATACATACATGCAAATGCATACACACATACACACATACGTACACACATACATACATGCGCACACGAATACACACCTACAAACCTACATACGCACATGCATACATACATTCATACATACATGCATGCATACATACATGCATACACGCACATACGTACATATACACATACACACACGCATGCATGCAAACAGCACGTACAATTATACATGCACACACATACATACATACAAACACACATACATGTATACAGACCTACATACACGCATGCATGCATATGAAGATACGCACCTACATGCAAACATACATACATACATACACACAGATGCATCCATGCATACGCGCATGCATACCACATACACGTACAGTCTTGCACACATACGTACACACATGACTATGTGCATGCATACATATACCTTTACCGCCACCTATACATACGAAGACACACCTGTATTGCAATATACATAAACACATACACATGTATGTACACGTACACGTATATATACGTGCACACAAACACACACATACATATACATACATATACACATACGTATACACATGCATGCATTCATACCTACATTCATACAATGCCTGTGCACCGATCTCTGTATACATATATATGTGTGTGTGTCTCTCCCAGGTTCCCCGGGAGGCCACACGTTCATCAATGAAGTGCACGGTGATGAATCGGCCTTCTCACTCGGCTGACTGCCCTGCCAGAAGCTGTCATGGCAAGCGCGGTGGAAAAAAGGGGGGCGAGAGCGGCCCGCTCGCTGGGCCTCCGGCCTCGCTGCCGCATCGAAGGCGCCCAATCCTTCCACGACTTTGATGGGCCTGTTTTCCGCAACCACCACCACCATAAGTTGGAGGGGGAGGGGGTCCTCCTCCTCCTCCTCATCCTCGTCCTCCTCCTCCACAACCACCTCCTCCTCCTCTTTGTCCTCCTCCTCCTCCTCCTCCTCCTCCTCCTCCTCCTCCTCCCCCTCCAACTTCTGGTAGTGGTGGTGGAACACAGGCCCATCAGACTTTGTTGGAGAGCTTCGGACACTCGGAGAGCTTCGAAGTGCATTTCGTGCGCCTCGGGTCGGATAAGTGTGCAATCGCACAAATCATGGAGCCCAATACGGTCTTGCAGACCGGGTGCGCAGCAGAGGAGTCAATGTGACATCGAGCATCGCATCTGAGACCATGCTTCGCTCGTCTGTGAGATAGCAGATCCTTCGCCGAATGAAAAGCACATTGATGGACGACACCGTCACTAGCACACTCAGGGCAAGCAAATCTGCGGGGGAGGAGGGGGAGGAGGAGGGGGACTGGGGGGAACGCCCTGGTGCGCCCTGCTACCTTTCCCTAATCTTAGGTCGGGCCTGACCCCCATACAGGCGGATTTTGGGCACAAATCTAAAAGGTCCAACAAA